GCTGTTAGCGATAAGCCAGTTTGATATTTGCTCTAGTTCATTATTTGCTACATGAAATAGAGAGATAATATTACTGCTAGAATAGAATAAAGTGGTATCGTCTAAAAACATAATAGTAGACATAGTATTTGATGCTTTATATAGATCGTTGACATAGATTAAGAACAGCAACGGACCTAAGATGGAGCCTTGTAGAACCCTACATGATATTTAAAGTTTGTTTGTCTGAAAGCCATCATTTATAGAAATAAACTGCTTTCAATCAGTTAAGTAACTGGTAAACCATTTATGGTATTTGTGGCTTATTCCATAATATTTTAGTTTTTCTAATAAAATCTGATGGTTAACGGTGTCAAATGCGATTTAAGCGATTTGTTAAAAATATCTAATAAAACATCCTAGCAGCCATTGATTATGCTTGCTGAAATAGAATCATAGCCTGTTGCTTTATTTTTATTTAATTTTTTTATTGAATCATCAAGTTCTTTACTAGTGAGTTTTTTAAATGCTAAGCTTTTATCCAACTTCGATAGATAGCTCAAGAAATGTGCAGGAGTGTGTTTAATTTTGCTGGCTAAGTTTGGACCAATATTTACGAAAAACTCATTAAATTTTGTTGCCACCGATTTTACATCAGAGATTTGTGTGCCGTCTACAGTAATCATGCTTGGTAAGACTTTGTTGTGTATTTTTTGTTTTCCAAAAATCTCTTTAATAGCATTCCACGTTTTTTTGCAGTTACCTTTTAGTTCTAACAGCTTGTTTTTGAAGTATGTAGTTCTGGCTATTTTTTTAGTTCTTTCATAAAGACGTTTGTGCTCTAAGTAATTATGCTTATCACGTTCTTTCTTTTTTAAAGTCTTCAAAGCGAAAACAAAAGCATATATATGGCTTTTGTTTTCGCTTCGAAGACTTTAGTTTTAATACGGATTGTTTTATTAGGAAAATGCTTATCGTACAAATTAAAAAATTTATCTAAGAAAAGGTTATTAGCACATGTCTCGAGAAAAACAAAGTTCCAATTTACAGTCGATAGCTCTAGTTTAAACATATTTTTTGCTTGGGTTGTAAAGATTCTTTTTTAGTATATCTATTGGTTTTTTGAAAATTGCAAAGAATGGGAAATGGTCGATTATGTAACTTCTGATGATGCCTGATTTAAATGTGGAATGGAATAGTGTATTTGTGAAAATATTGTTGATTGCAGAACAAGAGTTTTGTATTATTCTTGTTGATTTATTTATTATAGGCATCATTCCAAACTCATTAAAGCTATCGTAAAATTGTTGAACTTTGTTATTTTACCATATTTTAAATAGTCGACGTTATATTCTCCAAGAAATAAAAATGAGCGGTCTTTATTTTTTTTGCATGCTATTTCAAAATAATCACTTAAGTGATTTTGAAAGTTATTTAAACATCCGTTTGGTGGTCGGCATGTAGTGGTCACAATAATACTTTTAGATGAGTTATTGTAAATTTCTAAAGTGAAAGATTCAAAATTCGGCTCAGAGAACGGCAAGTGATATCTAATTTTATAAGTAAATTCATCAAGCACATAGACACATATACCACCGCCTGTTTTTGAAGACTTATATTCAAAAATGGCTTTGTAGTTGGGCAAAATAAAATTAATATTTTGATTAAATGTTGTATCTAAAACCCAGCTTTTCGTTAAACAAATTAAGCTAAAGTTAAAGTTAATATTATCTAGTAGGACTTTTAGTTCGTCGAAGTTTTTAGTAATACTACGAATATTTAAATGAAACACTGAGAATTGATTAGAAAAACATAGTTCACATCTTTTAAGGAAAATAGTCGTTTTATCCAAATCAAAGTAAGAAATGTTTAGTTTGTTTTTGTTGAGAAGTTGATCTTGAATAAGTTGAGATTTTATTCGAGTATAGTCAATTTTTGTCTTTTTTGGGGGAGATACTTTTGATGGCTTTACTAAATTAAAAGTGGTTGCTGTGGCTATTTGTGAATAATTCGAGTAAGATTGTCATTTCTAATACCGTTATGAAATTTAATTTTTTCTTGCTCATTTCTTAACGCATTTTTTTCGTTTCGTTCTATTAATTTATTTTTTAGAATGAATCTTTGACTTGCTATTAGATCGCGATTTATATACAAATTTTTCTTAATTTAATTGATGCTTTAAGAACCATATTTTTGTTATTAACGTCTTCAAGCTCGATAAGCAAAGGATCGATGCTTCCTTTAGATTTAAGACGGCGAATAGATCTTACTTTTGCTCCATCGCATTCGATAGCAATAAGTAAATTATTTACTTGCGATTTGTCATTTTCTAGTTTTTCCGTCTGCAAAGAACATTGCGTAGCTTCTAATCCATAGATGATGACGTTTGTTTCTTTACGTTCTTGGTCTTTACGTTCCTTTGTGGTTTCAAAAAAAAGAGATAGTTGGTCATTTGTTTTTTTGGCAGCCCCTGATACAACTTTTGACCACGTAGTTTCACTCATATCAGAATTGACTTCTTTTAATTTTTCCATTTCTGTAATTGAATTTTTTAGTTGCTTGTTTTCTTTAACACATTCCGCAACCTCGGGTTTTAAGTTTTTTATTTCATCCTCGAAAACTTTTATTACGCCATCTAACATCTTTTTTTTTATCTGTTTTTCTTGCTAAGCCGTTAAATTTGTCATAATTTACCTTTCAGGTGTAGTTTAGTTAAAAAAAAAATTTTGTTTTTTTTGTTTTGTTTGTTTTCTTTTTCTTATAAATATTGGATCGTATCGTGTATATCAAATACTATATTATATATACGAATATATATTTATGTATTTATATTAATTGTATTATTTATATATATAAATTTTATATGTATTTTACATTTTATTTATGCAAATATATTTACTAATATTGGTAATTTGTTTATATCAGAGCGCAAAAATTAAGCTTAAAGTTAAGAAAATTATACAGAAAACAAACAAACGCAACTTAAAAATTTAGCGAAGAGAGAAAAAAAAACAAAAAAAAAACAACTATAAAATTCTGTAAAAATATTAGCGAACTGAAGCATAAATAAAATCTTGGTTATAACTATTTATATAATAATAATAATATATAAATAAAGATATATATAATCAAAATTAAGTATAGGTATATTTAAGAATTATGTAATGCGAAGTACAACAAAAACTGTATTTTAGACACGAATATAGTTAATATATTATTATAATTCTAAGTAGAAAAGTAATTAATAAGCTAATAAGATAAAGCAATAAGAAAAGAAAGAAGTAATGGTTAGAAAAAAAAAAATAAGTGGAAAAGACAGATAAAGAATACGGAGAAAAATTTAAATTCCCGAAAACTTACGCTCAAACAAAAATACGTATCGAATCAAAGGCTTAAGCTTAAGCTTAAGATCAAATATATTTAGCATTAGTTGTAAACTAAAATTAAAAAATTTATTCGGTAACCGTTTTAAAAAATTTATTCGGTAAAGATTTTTGCAAACCGTAAGTCAAACTTTTTGGTTTTCAAAAATCTATTTGCTTTAGGTAATGGTGCCTCAATCCACAATCCCAATTTATGCAATATTTTATTAAATAATTTGCTAATTAAACGTTAACTAAGGAGATATAATTTTGTTATGTTTTCGAGAATATAGGAGTACCTGTTCATAAAAATATCTCAGAGTTCAAAGTTTATAAAAAAAATTTGGTAAAGTTGTGTCTATGAATCTTCTGTGACTAGGAATCCTCGTAGCGCTAGCAGCAATTCCCATAATTAAGAATTTTATCAGTCTAAATATCCGTACTTAATCTTTGATTGACAGAAAATCGTATTACCACCACAACATATAAAATCAGATTTAATGAATCGATTTTTGAAAACATTTGATAAACGAGCGAATTGCTTATATAAATATGTAAAGCGTTTCAGGGACATAAAAATGTATGTTCTGGTATTTTCAATACATCCTCGTTACAGGAAGTTTATTAAGGATTTGATTTTTGCACACTCTATTAATGAAACTGAAGCAAAAACATTTTATTTGTAGATGTAAATTTCTTTAAAACATCAGGGATGACGTTATGTCAATGCCGTTAAAAACTTACTTTAAGGTTTTTACTCCCTTGGTCGCAATATAAATATTAAAACGCATTTCTTAATCAGCCACTTTAAAATTACTCTGAAAATCTTTCACCAAAAAACAACGAAGATGGAAATCAAAATTCTTCATCTTAAAAATCCAAACAAAAATATCACTTTTACCATTTAATCCTTGATTCTTTATTTTTGATGTTCACAAGTTGTTATTGATATCGTCATTTGTGTTTATTAGTCTAAAACAACATTTCTGGAATAACACTTTCATACAATAAAAAATCCAGACGCGATGGAGACAAACCGATGAAATTTTTGTTTTCAAATTTGCTAAGTTAAATTACAATCGTTTGTGTGACAAGAGCAAACCTTTTATTTTTAGAGCTGTGTAGTTTATAAATTTCTAAATCAATCTGAAATAGATAGATTTAAATTGGTTAAAACAGAAACTGGTGGAAATAGAAAAACGTTATAGATCGTTTAAAAGGATCATAATTGGTTAAAGACGATTTGAGGCAGAGGCGGACTTAAAAGAGTTAAAACATTATTTTTAACTCTTTGGTAGTTAAAAGTAATAATAATAATAAAGTTCTTGCCTGTTAAAGTATGATTTTAAAATAATCTGTCACACAGTAAAAATATTAACTGTAATTTTTATCTTTATCTTTTTATTTTTTATTTATGTTGCAAACATTTTATAAATTCAATCAATCTTGATCAAATTTAATACACATTTTGAAAATTTATAATATATTTTTATATTAAATATCTTTAAATATTACAAAAAAGTAAAAAATATAAGTATATATATATATATAAATAAAAGTAAACTAAAGTTCAAGTACTTTCGATTAAAAACGAAAACTTGTTAAGGAACTTCTGTTAAACTTTTTTTCGTACCTTTTTAAAAAAACAACTTTTATCACTTCTTTATACTTCTATATTTATATCTCTTGTATATATTTTATTCTTAATAAACTATAAATTTAAATACAAAAAACTTAAATATTTGTAATACAAATTTTTTAATTTAAACCAAAAAATTAAAACTGAGTGTTATAAATATCATTAGCATTCTTGTCGATTGATGCTACATCATTCTGGTCGATTGACGTTACATCACTGACGCTACATCGTTCTGGTCGGTAGTCGGTAGACGTTACATCACTGTTGGTATATTCTATTAAACAGCACAACTTTTCTTCGCAAAGACTACTGCACTGCAAACGACAAGTGGTTCCATTTTCTATAGTTTTCTAAATATATTAAAACCTCTTCCTCTCAGATAAGCTATTTAAGATACAAAAAATCATTAGGTATAATTTAATTATGTAAAATATATAAAAATATAAAATATATAAAAATTATACAAGCGAAATATAAAAATAAGTCATAGTCAATGTTACTAAAAAGAGTTTTTAAAATTGTGTTTAAACTCAATTTTAAAAAATGTTAACATTAAAATGAGAATTTAAAGATAAACTATTATTTGAAAACCTGTTTTAAAATTTTTTATATAACTAAAGTACATATTAAATTAGGTAATAACCTCATCGGTGCTTTCGTTATGAGATTTTTTTTGTTTAATTGATTTATTGTGTACCTTTGGAAGAATGAGAACAAGTAATTTCTTGAACAATATGCATAACCGATGCATGACTAAATCTAATTAGGAAACAGTAAAGAACTCAATTCTTTTCTAGTGTATTATTAGAATTTAAGAAAACAAAGAGCAAAGAACCATTTGGAGTGATAAAAGGTAATAAAAATGCTCCTATTTTTAAGTGAATATATAAGAATACAAATATATAACCCATTTGTTCAGAAAATAAAACAAATTTTATTTTAAATGTGTTTACACTTTCATGTTATAAACTGAAACAGTTATAACCAGGGCTGTGGAGTCGGAGTTGGAGTTGCGGAGTTGCGACAATTTTAGCGGAGTCGCTAAAAAATATCGCGACTCCGACTCCGATAGTAATAATTAATCTTATGTTCATACTAAACTTCAAGAAACGTTGCATAAATTTGTCAAAAAAAAATTTCAACTTATCGCGCAATATTTTTTAAAGAATTCAAAGAATTTTTCGAAAATTTTGCTTTGGAAAAGCATCAAGCAAAACAAAAATACCAAAATACATAAAACGCTATGGGGCAGCGTCATAAAAACAGCTGAAACAAATGCGTTAAGTGTTTACATTCCAAAAATGTCTCTTTTATTCGAAAGTAAAAAGACTTCTTGTTTACAGCATTAAAATATTCAATAAATGACTAAAAAATTCTTATTTTATCTTTCTGTAAACAGTAAAAACGTTAAAATCGAGGTTTTCACATTAGTTTTCACTCATAGCAATTTACTACCAGAATCTTTTTATAATCGTTTAAATAAATTACTAAACAAAAACGCTTCAGCTTTTGTATAACTTCTGCCCCATGTATTAAGTTAAAACTTCAAACTCTTAGATAATAAAATGACCATATATTTGTAAACAAAATAAAACAGCATGCTTCATAATATTTTTCTAAAAACAAACCAATCAAAACGCGCACAAAACAGCATTTTTTGAAATCGAAAGGGCCTAAACGCTACATTTTTTTTCGGATCTCTCTTTAACTACGCTGAGTAGTGTTACAATTAGTGTTTGCATAGTTTAAAGACATCTGGCAAAGGATTATTATTAAGCTAGTTAAGCTTTCGATCTGAATTAAAGCCAGTCCTTTATCATAAAAATATTTATATTTGCCTTTTAACTTTTTTAAACTCCTATCATTTGAATCCATCAATAATAATGGTATAACATTATATATTTACCCATTACAATAATAATAGTATAACATTATATATCTAACCTTTGTAAAACTAATCAAAAATTAATTTTTTCCTATTATTAAAAGATTAAAAATAACTGTAGGCAAATAGAGAAAGTGCGCCAAGACTATTTAGAAACCTTGTGCCAAGACTAACTAGAAACAGAATGATTGCATTACGAATGCTCAAGTTTAAAAACTTTAAAGAAATTTATTTAAAAACTTTTGAAATTTTAAAATTGTTTTTAAAAAATTGTCTACCTCTGCATATTCTGGTTGTATGGTTGTAGAATGAATTCCCTCATCATGAAAAAATTCCTTTAGCATAAATGCAATTTTAGAGTAGTCAGAATGAGCACGGAGTTCAACATGTAAAGATGCCACTAATTTGCTATCAGTTAGTTGCCATACGTGGAATTCATGAACAGATTGAATTTCAGGAAACTAAAATATGTAAACATAAATATTTGATAATTTGATAGCTTAGTTTTTATTTCAATAAAAATTAATAATAATAATAAAATAAATTATATTACAAACTACATTCAAAAGAAAACAAATTCATCACTTTGAGTAACAGCTTATCTTCAATTGTGTTAATCTGGATACTAGATGGAGCATTTTGCATCAAAATCATACTGGATTGTTTTACTAAATTTAGGAACAAAGTTTTTTTTTTAAAAAAAAGGATAAAAAAAAATAAATTTCATAAGATATAAGTATAGTTATTTACTTGCAAATCTCCCAAATCCCTTAACTTTGATACAGGAACCAACAGTTAAACTGAGTTTAAACAGTTAAACTAAGACTTAAGGGGTAAACAGAATCTATCAGTTAACCTGCTTCACACCCCTTCTTCATCTATTAGACTGGCATAGATGTATTTATAATACATTGTTTCCAGTTTGGGATGTTGGTTGCTGGATCTTCTTGACTTGTTGCATGGGTTTTTATTGTGTCTCAGTTTTCAGAACTCGTTCTGTTATCTCCTAAAGAGGGTGCAGCTCTAAAACCCAATGTTGTGTGTGTGTGTGTGTGTGTGTGTGTATATATATATATGACTAGGTCAGCCCAAAGTCGACAAACTATGTCTCTATAACCTTCGTCAAGTCGACACTTTTCATAAGTCGACAGATTTTCTGTCGACTTTACGTTTGAATGAATTTTAGTAATGATTAGTTCAATGGAAATTTAAAAAAAAAGATACCATTGTAATATCTAAATTATACTCAAGAGATTTCTATGAAAAACATTAACAAAAAAAAACGCGGAAAACTATAAACAATAACTTTTTTAAAAGTGCGTATGTTTACTCGTGTTACATATACGATCTATAGGTCGATAGTTAAGAGATTGCATTTTTTGTTTAAAATATAAAGATATATTTATTATAATTTTTGTTTAAAATATAGATAAACTATTTAGTTAAAATAATATATGACCAGTTTTAAAAAAAAATTAACATTTAGACACTATATATTATGTTATTTTTCAACTATAAGTAGACTTATTCTAGTTGTAAATCTTGCGTCAAGTCAACAATAACAAATATATAGACTTGTATTTTAATATTTCTATGTTTTTATAAATTTTTTTAATATAAATATATGTAAAAATGACAAACAAACTTTAAAATATGCGTATAAAATTTATTTTATACTATTTCTACGACGTCAAGTTGAAATATATGTGCATGCGTTAAAATCGCTAAGTTGACAAATGTTATATTTCTTTTTAAAAAAGTGCTTAATTAATCACTTAAATTTTTTTTCTATACAAATACTTATTTACTCTCTGGTTCAAAAAAAAAATTAAATTAAGTGCAAAAGAAACAAAAGAAATCAAAATACAACGCCAGATTTACTTTCTGCAGACAATTAAACCAACATTCGAGCTAAAAATCAGAGTTTTGTTCCAAAAAGGTGTTACTCTGTTTTCAACACAAAAAAGCGTGGCTGCAATATCTGCCAAAAAAGGATATCACTTGGCATAGAAGCTACGATGGGAATGAAAATATCTGCAGAATGGTTCGATTAAGAAGTTTGTGAAAATAGAAAGCAACAGTTAAGTTTGCTACATAAGAAAATATTTTAAAGTTTTCAAACAATATTTCTAAGTCTTCAACCTGTTCATTTACCTGCAAAAACATGTCATTTGTAAAATGTCAGTACATGTTTTAGTTTCTGGGACCAGTTTAATGCCTGACTCTTATAGTCAACTAGTTAGTATAATGATGCAGCAACATGCTAACAACAGCTCCTTGCACCAGTTTTACAATTAAATTTAACATAAAGTACTTCACCAGTAGACTGCCACAAGTGTGTAAAAACTTTGCATTTTTTATGTTTCACAAAAGCTGCAACATTACACTTTGTAATAAACAAATTTATGAATTATTTTACATTTGCTTTGGCACATACATTTTTACATAACTTTCTTTAAATAAGCGGAAGCCATGAGTTTGATGATTTTTGGCTCCTTTTTTGCAATTATCTTCAAATATAGTCCCATTAACAAGATAATCCTTGAAAAAATTGTGAGTTATATTTGGTTAAAATGTCTCTTGCCCAAATTAAAATACTGTTGTTTATAGATTTTTTTTTCTTCATCAACAACAACAAGTTCATCATGTTTTAACTCATAAAAAGTTGCCTCAAATGCCATGCTTGTCTGGCATCTAAGGCAACTTAGATGACAGAGAAGAAGAGCTCTGAGAAGAACTAGTATCAGTTTAATTTTTTAAATTAGCGATAAAAAAAATTATATAGACTTAAATAAATTCAACTACCACAGTGGATTGCACCTTTGACAATTTATGGAAATAGTCTATTGCTTCATTTTTGATATATAAAAAATATTAATTTACAAATATATATCAGTATATAAATAAAAAAATATTAAAACTTCACCAAAAAGAGCAAAAAAATATTGAAACTTCATCAAAAAGAGCAAAAGATTTGATGATGGTGTAATTGATTTCAGCAGCAGAGAACGAAGCAAAAATATTTTTCAAAAATACTACTTAATATTTGGAAAAAAAAAAGAAATAAGAAAAGTTTCATTTTTATAATAAATTAGCATGAATGCATGTTAAGATATACAGTAGAGATGTGACTTTTTGGTAAATTTTTGGTATCTCCTGTTTCCAATATAAGAAACAGATGAACTTTGGTTTGAAAGTAACTGAAAAGCCATGGTTTTATTTAATTTTTAAAAAAGGTCACCCTCCATGACCCTTGATTACACACTGGCTCCCGTATATCAGTGAGTTTTTTTCTTCAAAAGTATATCAACCTGGGTGTCAAAAGAACCAGAATTTTATGGTGATTTTAAAATTCACAGCCTTTTCTACTAAAACATTGATATTAAAAAAAAAAAATTGCAAACAAAATGTCATGAAAACTGAACTTTTCAATTTTGAGTTTAAAATTGTTGTTTTTTGTATATAAAATTTAAACAATTTTTTTTATTTGAAACCATTGTTTCTAAAATCTCTATGAAATTTTGGTTTTTTTGACACCCAGGTTGATATACTTTTGAAATAAAAAAATTCACTGATATATTAGGAGTCATTGTGTAATCAAGGGTCATGGAGGGTAACCTTTTTCAAAAATGAAATAAAACCAATGACTTTTCAGTTACTTTCAAACCAAAGTTCATCTGTTTTTATATTGGAAACTTAAGTTACCAAAAATTCATATCCCTAATATACAGTGTAACGCCATACTGAAATAGGGGTTTCAGTACATACATAGACTATCTTATAGCCAGCTGCTGCACTACCTCAAATGAAAGTTTGGATTGGGGCAACAATCTTTTCTTTTATTATTCTTAGCTTCTTCTTTTTCTGGAAAAGCCATATACTATATAGGTAAGCAAAAAAAGTAAGCAATTGCTGGTCTATATACTCTATAGTAGATAAATAGTCGACCCTCAACTGATGTAGCAACACTCTTCAGATGTTTTACCTATTTGTCAGTTAATGTAGCAGCACTCCTTGCATGTTCTACCTAATTGTCAGTATATATGAGTAAAAAAATAAAAATAAAATAATAACAAATTTAATTTCGTACACCTCTCGAACAAGAAACATTCAACAACTTAAACAAAAAGCGTGCTTCCGAAAATGCAGAACTTTTGGTAAAAGATCTACTTGACAAACCCTTTCAATTTGTCATCCGCAGCGAAAAAATCAAATGCATTTACACATCCAAAACAGTTAACATCAGTGGAAGAGAGAGGAACCCATACCTCAAATGGAAATCAGCAGCTCAGGCCATTCAATCGCTCTCAACATCTTACTAGTTCAACATTTTTAAACAAGGCCAGTTCTTCCATTAAATTATCTAATCTTTCGTGCTTCTACACTTATGCAACCTCCCTTAATCCAATAAAACTCATCGAACTCTCCTTACTCGCAGAAAACATCAGTATCAACCAAAAAATACAATGGTATGATCATTGCTGGTGATTTCAATTTTCCAGAGATTACTTGGACTTCCAATTCAGTCCTCTCCTCTAGTAAAATCGGTCTCAGTTCTTCATTTGTCTCTCTTCTTCAAGATTGTTATCTTAACCAAATCGTCACTGTCCCTACTTTTAAACCTGCTAATCACCCTATGACAAACACTCTTGATCTCATAATATGTGACTGTCCATATCGTGCTAACAAAGTCAACATTGGTCCTCCACTTGGTTTGTCTGATCAATATCATTGCTCTATCACCTGGCAATACAAACTGGCTTCTACTGGAAAATTATTGCATTTCAACAGCTCTAAATTTATTTACAACCTCGGTAACTACAAAAAAATCAACAAAGAATTCAATAAGGTTGACTGGTCATCTATTTTTAAAGAATTGAACGTAGAACAATGTTACCAAATTTGGCTAAACAAATACAATGAATGTTGTCCTCAATTCATCCCTCGCATGCCAAACAAACCATCCCCAAATAAACAACCATGGATGACAAAAAAACTTTTATCCCTATTTGTCTTAAAAAATCGCTGTGGGCTCGTAATGTCAGTTCAAAATGGAAAATCGCATCCCTGGTTAAAGAATATAGAGAAACGAGTTTTAAAGTTTGTTAAAAAATTAAGATATTCTTCTCTTTTGCCAAAGCATTTGACAAAGTGCCACATCAACGAATGCTTTACAAACTAAAAATGTACGGAATTGAAGGTAATCTTCTCAATTGGATAAAAACTTTTCTACTTCATAGGTTTCAACGAGTCATCCTTGGTGACACTCATTCGAATTGGTTACCTGTGACAAGTGGAGTTCCGCAAGGATCAGTCTTGGGTCCAATTTTATTTGACATTTTCATTAATGATCTGTCAGATGCAATAAGCAAAGAAAACATTTGTAAGATCTACGCTGATGACACTAAAATTCTGAGCATTGCCAACTCACTTGCTGCTCAACTTCAACTCCAATCAGATATTGACCAAATTGTTCATTAGACTAAGTCTTGGCTCATGGAGCTGAATGCAAAGAAATGCATAGTCATGCACTTTGGCCAAAAAAAAATAACTCCTTTCAAGTACTCAATGGAGGAAATATGCCCTTGTTCAATAACGAATCGAACTACATTGGAAGCAACCACCTCTGAGCATGACTTGGGAATTCAAATTACCAATGACCTTAAAGTAGAAACCCAATCCATCATTGCCTCATGGAAAGCAAATAAAATGCTAGGCATCCTAAAACACACTTTCCAATCTCGTGATGCTTCTTTATGGAAACAACTTTACTCCACCTTTACTTGAGTTTGCAATTCCAGTGTGGAATCCTCATTTGGTGAAGCTAATACAGCGCAGAGCCACAAAAATACCAGACAAACTGAAAAGTCCAGATGTTTACAACTTGGCCTATCTACTCTAGTTGAACATCGCAAACGAGGTGATCTCATCAAAAAATAGAAAATTATTAATAACATTGACATAATCAACTAGCACTTTCCCCTCATCACAATTCCACCAAGAGCAAATCACAGAGAAAGACTTCATCGTGAAAAGTACAGCAACCATTTAGCTCGCTTCCACTTTTTCAACAATCACATGTCAATGCATGGAACATGCTACCAGATAAAATAATCAATTCTCCAACTGTCAAAAGTTTTAAAGCAAGCCTTTACAGGCTCTACTGTTACTACAGTTCGCAGCTTTCCTTAGTGAAAATTGTAATATGAGCTTCACAAAAACTAACTGTAACCTGACAATCTATGATTTATATTTTGTCAATTGTTTTTACTTTTGTTGTAACAAATATATACTACTACTGCTACTACTGCTACTACTACTACTCCTACTACTCCTACTCCTACTACTACTACTACTACTACTCCTACTCCTACTCCTACTACTACTACTCCTACTCCTACTACTACTCCTACTACTACTACTACTACTACTACTACTACTACTACTACTACTACTACTACTACTACTACTACTACTCCTACTACTCCTACTACTCCTACTCCTACTACTACTACTACTACTACTACTACTACTACTACTCCTACTACTCCTACTCCTACTCCTACTACTACTACTACTACTCCTACTCCTACTCCTACTCCTACTCCTACTACTACTACTACTACTACTACTACTACTACTACTACTACTACTACTACTACTACTACTACTACTACTACTACTCCTACTCCTACTACTACTACTACTACTACTACTACTACTACTACTACTACTACTACTACTACTACTACTACTACTCCTACTACTCCTACTCCTACTCCTACTACTACTACTACTACTACTACTACTACTACTACTACTACTACTACTACTACTACTACTACTACTACTACTACTACTATTACTACTACTACTACTACTACTACTACTACTACTACTACTACTCCTACTACTCCTACTCCTACTACTACTACTACTACTACTACTACTACTACTACTACTACTACTACTACTACTACTATTACTACTACTACTACTACTACTACTACTACTACTACTACTACTACTACTACTACTACTACTACTACTACTACTACTACTACAACTACTACTACTACTACCAATAATAATAATAATAATAATAATAATAATAATAATAACAGTTAAAACTAAGAAAAAAAAAAATTCAGAATGTTTTTATTTTTAGTAAAAAAATAAAAAATATTCTAGTCTAAAAATGTGTTTTTGTGGTATGTATATAATATTTATTTTAGTATTTATTATTTTAGTGAACATTAGTAAGTAAAGTAATACTTAGCAATATTAGTAAATAAAAAATAATAAAGTAATATTTAGTAATATTAGTAAGTAAATTAATTTTAGTTTTTTCTGCAATTTATAACAAAACATTTTTAAATTATGCACATACGAAATTATGATTCTCCCTCAACACATCATGTAGAGGACAATTTTTGGCTAGTGACAAAAGTTTGCCAAGGTACTCAAACCAAACTTTTGTCACTAGCCCCCAAAAATATTTTCATGGAATAGACATTATTATGGAAGGCTTTATTAAAAGTTCTTTGTTTTTAAGGTATAAAATAATTGCAAACTTTTATTATAGTCATAAAGAACAGTTTATGAGTCATTGAAAAAAAATTCTTTTACATTTTTTTTCTAGATTTAAAAGTTTTAGTGAAAGCTCTAGGTTTTAGAGCAGAAACACTTCTATAAAATACATATAATTAAAAATAAAAAAATTAAAAAATAAAAATACAATATAAAAACTAAAATAAAATAATAAAAATGAATAAAAATGAAACATAAAGTAATTTTTATCACAAAAATTAATTTTTTTACAAATCTATAATATTAAGTAAACTTAAAATATACTTACCTAATGGAATAACAGTTTTTGTTATAATAATAACCATAAGTATGCTAAAATAAAAATTAAAAACTATTTTGTTGAGTCTTTTTTTTTTTTTTTTTTGTGCACAAATAGACATCTCTCATCAATGTGTACATTTAAAAAAAAATCTAATTCACTTCCAACCAGGCTACAAGCAATCTCTATTAAGTTAAGAGTTAACAGAAGCAACATCTATTAAATTGGAAGTTACTAGAAGAAAAAGAAAAGAGCAAGGAAACAGAAGAAAAGTTATAGGCACTAACATACATACACAAATACACACATACCCAACATACATTTGTTAAATTCATGCATTTGAATCAAAATTTTTTAAAAGGGCAGATTAACTCTAGAAATTTTGAATGAATCTGCCATTTTAAGAAACACTGATTCATTCATGGTATTTAATTTGAGCAAAAAAAAAAAAAGATAAAAAAAAACGCATTGCCTTCCTCTTCCTATTAAAAATTCAAAACTTTGAAAGGTTTTGTATTTTTAAATGCTTAAAAATATGTTTTGTAAATATTTTAATTTTTTTGATCAAGATAATGACCAGATGTTTGTTTATGTTAATAAACTTTAGTCAAAATAAGAATATATTATTACTTAGATCATTTTAAAAATTTAAAAAAAGTTTTTTTATTAGTACAAAGTTCTTTAAATCTTTAAAAACTAATCATGCTTAAAATAAAATTTAAAATTCAACAATTAAAAACTGTATGTAAGTATGAAGTAAAATTTTAACAAACAAAAACAAAAAATAACAAAGATACCATAACAGGAACCAACATTAACAAGCTCGTAAAATCAGCAGCAGTATTAATTTTACATAATTTTATTATAAAATAAAACTAAGCTAATATAACAACTTAATATACCGTAGATTTCCCTGATTCAAAACAGTCTTTAATTCCAAACAGCTATAGTTCACTTATTGTTACATGTTTATGATTATTAAATTGGAAGACAAGGGTAATAAGAATATTTGGCCTTAAAGTGTTTTAAAGTGTTATGCAAAGAGCAATTAACATACGCCTTAATCGATTTTACGTAAGCAGAAAATTATTTATAGCTAATTTATTATAATTATCAAAAAAAAAATTTATTTCTGATAAAAATATAAGATTTTATTCAAAACCAATTTAATAAAAATATATAATTTTATTCTGATAAAAATATTATTTAATTTTTAAAATATTATTTAGATTTTAAAAATATATAATCAAGTTTAGATTTAAAAAATTAAGTTTATTAAAATTAAAGTTAATGTTTGGGTTTAACTCAACTGTCAAATTTATTTAAAAATATAACTAAATATTATTCTCAATATTCTAAATATTAACTCAATATTGAAACTTTATTTGTTCTTAAAAAAAAAATTAGCTCATTTTTTATTGCAATTGTTTTTTTGGTTTCCCTTCCTAAACATTTTTTTTTTACTAAAATTATAAATAAACGGCTGCATCAAAAATTTGCACAAAATGTAAGTTAAACTTTTTTTTTATAATGCAAGTTAAATCGCAGCGATTATTTCTTAATAAATAATATATACAGCAATATAATTCTAATAATAAAATAATAAACTTATATATACTAAATAAATAAATTAACATTTATTTTTTAATTTGTTACTCACAATTTTTTTTTAAATAAAAAATCATTTGTGGTTGCAAAGCTGCAATTAGAAATTTAAGAAATGATCATATAAAAAATTTAAAAATTTAACATATTTTGATTCAAATGTCAAAATTTGTTAATTTAAACATTTATAAAAATGCAATATTAAATTTAATTATTTAATATTAAAAAAAATAAATGAAAGAAAATAAACATTCCCCTATAGTAATAATAAAAAAGACGTTAAATAACATTTAACTTGTTTTGCGGTAATTAATATTATTGCAGTAATTTAAAAAAGTTAATGTATTTAAAAAATAAAAAAAATAAAGAGAATTTTATGACATCAAATATCGCGTTAAGCTGATGCATTATGCATTATTTATTTAAACCAAGGCCTGGAATATGAAAAAATATTTTTAAAATATATATTGATCCCATGAAATTTTTTAATTGCAAGTAAAACACTTTTTAAACCTTGAAAAACCAACAATATAAAAGCGACTGAAAAAAAAAGGCAAATTAAATTGCATACTGATTGATGTAGAATTTGATGGTGACTATTCATCTGAAAAAAAAATAATTAAAAAATAGAAATACTTTGTAAACTATTTTTAAAAAAGTATTTTTCTGCATAATTTAAATGCTTCCTAAATTCCAAACATATTTTGGAATGCATTTTATTTTTTGCAAAAGTTGGCGTTTTTACATGCAAGTAATTAACAACAATATTTAACAATATTTTAACAACATTAACTTAAAAACTATTAATGCTTTTAACTTTTGAAATGAATTTCTTTTTTATCTTAATGTTTGTTAATATAAAAATGTCAAAAATTAAAAAAAAAATGATCACAAAAGATGAATTAAACTTTGTATTGAGGCTATCAATAATAAGATGCCATATTCAGAAGCAACTTTATCTGATAACATTCTTAAAACAACTATTTTTTGCAGATTAAAAGGAATAAATGGAATTGCTGGTTTTGGTAGGTCAACTGCATTAGGCCAAGCAACAGAGAAGCTTATAGTTGAACTTGTAAATTTTATGAGTGACATAAGCTTCAGCTTAAAAAGAAATGATATTTTAACTGTAGTTGAAAACTATTTGAAGAAATCTAAAAAAACTCATTTACTCAATGCCAGTAAACCTACTCGAAAGGGGTACAATAGTTTCATTAGAAAATATGCAAAAAACATCTGTGAAAGAATAGCTACTAGCATGCAAGCTGTAAGAGCGGTGTCGTTGCAACCAGCAATTTTTGATGAATGGTTTATCCAAGTTGACACTGTTTATCGAGAGTTTAATTTAACTGAAAAGTTGTTTCATGTGTTTAACTGGGATGAAAGTGGATTGAAATTTAATCAAGGCAAAGTCAACATTGTTTGTTGAAAAGGAATAAAAAGTCCAAAACAACTTGCCCCAACAATTGAAAAACAATTGACTACTATTTTAACTTGTTGCAATGCTTTTGGAAATCTCCTACCTCATCAAGTCATTTACAAAGGTTGAAATTTGATGAAAGCATGGGTTCAGTGTGGTATTTGTGATGTTTGTTATTCTACCAGCAAATCAGGTTAGATGGAAAGCAAAAATTTCATTTTATTCAATTTGTTTATTCGCGCAAACAAACTACATATATTAAAAATTCTACTTTTAGATGGCCATGCATCTCACATCAATTTTGAATTAAAAACATCTGAATCAAACAAAATAATTTTATTCCGATTGCCAGCTCACACAAATCATTTTTTGCAACCGCTAGATGTTTTTGTTTTTAAAACAGAAAAGGAGGAACGGAAGCAAATGGTAGAAGCCAACTTGGTTAGAAATTCTTTTTTAAGTTAAAGTAAATGGCAGTCTCCAGCCACGCTAAAAGATCTTTTTGTAAATATAGGCTTCAAAGCAGAAAATGCACATAGTGGTTTTTAAAATACAGGTATATTTAAGAAGACAGGATCAAACAAATTGATAATGCACATTCTGTACCAACACAATGTTATACCCTTACATTAAAATATAAAAGTAATTTTAAAAATCTTTTTACTTAACCTAAAGGTCTATGCTAGTATAAATTATTTACTATTTTAAATTTAATGCTATTTTTTGGGATTTGATACATGTACATTCGGATTCTGAATGAAAACTTAACTTTTTAAAATTAAAAATTAACAATATTTCTATTATAAATATACTTGTTGCTTGATATTATTTGATTCAGTTAAGGTTCCAGTTTATTTATTTAAAAAGATTAATTTAAAATTCAAAAAACAAGCAGTGTTATTCAACTTTTGCGATTTTGTTCGGAATGAAAGCGATTTTGTTCGGAACAAAAGAAATCTACAGTAATAATATTAGTAAAACAAACTTTGTTTCAAAAATAGATATTATATTAAAACCTCATTCCTGGATCAACATAAAGTGTCCATTGTTTTCCATCAAAAAAGTAAACAATCAACGCAGCAAAAATAACAACAATAGATCCTAATGCATCTCCAAGCAGATGTAAGTAAACTCCTTTCATATTCATTTGTCCACTTGATTTTGATTTTTGTGTTTTTGCAACTGCTTTAACTCCTTCTAAAAACATATTTGCTTATGAACTGTGTACAACTCCAGCTAAACTGAATTTTTTTATTCTCTATCCAAAATGAATTCCCTCGGAATTAGGGTTGGCATTTGGCAATGCCACCCTTAAAGTGTTTGAGATGGGCAAAATATTGTTGACCTCATTTTTTATAATTCCGAGGGCTGTATATATATGGATTTATATATAAACATATATATGCACAAAAAAAATTGAAAAAACTATATAAAGTTATGTTAAAAATAAAATAATAACAATAAATTCTTTTAAAAAACAAATACAAATAATATTAAAAAAATAAAAAAAAATTGAATAAATTGTTACATAGAGTAATGATATTTGAAGTATAACATTTTAAAATAATATTTTCTAAGTATAAAAATTTATACCAATTTCTCTTATCTCTGTATTAGAATCTATATTCACTGAAACAAAAGATCCGTGTTTGATTGATATATTTCCCATGTAGCTTTTATTGGAATCTTCAAGTTGTTTAGATTTCATATCTATATCATTATATGGTTCTAAGTTAATCTCAAGAGCCTCATTATTATAACTTTCTTTTGTTGGTGGGTCTGATGTTTTCTCTTCTTTATTTCCACCATGACTATGGGTGTGACCAGTATGACCTAGAGAATTAAAAAAAAAAAAAAAAAAACTTGTTATTTTAGATTTTTGAAAAATCAAAGTGAAAAAAAAATAGCAACTAACTTTTGAAATCCAGTATAGTTTTATTATAAAAAAACACATTTTTTTTCAAATGTTGTTTTGTTCAAGGTTTGTTTCATCTAATTTTTATGGCTAGCAATAAGGCAGATGTGAAAAATATTATTTAGCAAAGAAAAAAATTGTAAAATAATAAATTTTTTGTTTATAAAACATTTACCTTTTTGGCAGATTGATTTAAGTATGTTTACTTATAGCAATAGAAATATATAGTAGAAAAACTGTAACTTTTTTTTGTTGAAGATAAAAGAGAATAGAGAAGATATATATAAAAAAAACAGCCCTGCATTAATCTGTAACGCATAGTTGTTTCATATGTAGTTAAAACTTTTATCAATAGAAGTTAATAAAAGCTAATTATTTGAAAAGGAATTTAGTTTTTCTGTGAAGTTTTTTCTGTTGTTATTTATATAAAGCTTATACTAAAATATACGGGAAAAAGTGAAAATAATTTGAGCCATAAGAATACATAAAGAAACTTAAACTATTTTAACTTTATCATATCATATTCAGGGGCAGATGCAGCTTTTTTTGATGTTTGAGATAACTTCCAGACATGGAAGAAACTCCAAATATTTATATGGCTATACTTATATCAAATAATTATGCTTTCCAAAAAATAGTTATGATTGGAGCCTGAGTACAAAAAAGTCCTAGAATTTTAGCTACACCAGCTTCAAATGTAAGAACAACAAGTTGATAAAATATTTCTTTTACTAATCTCAACTCAGTTTATGTTCATCAATAAATTTTAAAATTAACACAATCTCTTAGTGTTCAACAATAATGGCTTTATAAATTTTGTAACCCCCTAAAATTGAGGGGATTCAAACTTTTTATGGTCATAGTTCTTGAATGCTAAAAGATTGTGTGAATTTTAAAATTTATCGATAAATATAAATTAAGTTGAGAATAGTAAAAAAACTTTTTTAATATTATATACTGTTACTCTCACAGGTGCAGCTAAAACCTTAGGGCTTTTTTGTTTCCAGGCTCCAATTATCACAATTTTTTGCAAAGCACCCTTGTTTGACATAAGCATAGACATATAAATGTTTGGAGTTAACTCCATTTCTGGAAGTTATCTCAAACATTAAAAAATGTTGCATCCACACCTGACATTGCCTCTAAAAAATTTTTAATAAAATGACAAATTATTATCATTAGCGTATTTAACCAAACAAAAAATTTTTATCACTTGAACTAAACTTACCATGAAACAAACACATTCCTACAAGATTAACAACAAGACCGACAGTTCCAACAGTTAAAATGAAAATAGGTTTTTCTAGTTTTTCTGGTGTAACTAATCGCTTCACTCCTTCAATCAAAATAGAAAAACATAGAGCAAGTAGAAATATACCATTTATAAGTGCTCCTAAAACTTCTGCACGAGCCCAACCAAAAGTATTTCCAGTATCTTTCTCCAAATTATTTTTTTTTTTCTTAGAAAACTATTAGAATAAAAAAAAAAATTTACTTTACTTTAAACAAATACTAAAATATATTTAGTCAACACTTAAACATTTTATTATCTAATAAAATATTTTAGTGTGTGTGTATATATATATATATATATATATTAGGGCCCTGCCAATAGCTTTGATTTGATTCGCGAATCAGGTATCGCTTTGATTCGAGATTCGATTCCAAAAAAATGATTCGAGTTTTTGGAATCATTTTTTTATTTAAATTACTTTATGTTTTCATACAAACAGCGTAAAAAGTTTTCAAAATATCAATATTTATGTTATCAAAAAATTCAGCAGGAGAGTAATTTTGGAATGTAAACGTACTTTTCATTAAAATTAATTGTAGATTAGGGATTTAAACAGAGCGGAAGGCAAATTAGCAATGCAAAAGTTAGCTTTTATTTTTTGCGTTAACTTCTAAAAAATCGGCAGTTAAAGAATTCTTTGGAAAAAAAAGGAGTATTCTGGCAATGCAAACAAAAAAATTGCAATAAAAAGTATTCTGTTCAGAAAACTGGAACTTAATCTCATCTATGGAACCATTTAAAACGTGATCATAAAAAACTATACGTAGAAGCAACAAAAAGCACACATCTGCTAGTAAAAGAAAAAAGAATTCCGATAACATAATTGAGCAATCATCAAGTTTCTTGTTAAATTCATATTTTATTCGACCTCCAATAGATGCAGTTATTAAAAAGTATAAAAAGCCAGTTTATCTCCAAACATAGCATCACTTTTGATCACAGCCGACAATGGCAATAACTTTCTTGTTTCTACTTGTTACTTTATTTCATCCTCTTGGGTTTTAGAATCATGCTGTTTATCAGTTGTAAACCTGAAAGTAATAAATGCTTGTCACTAAGCTACTTCCACTGAAAAAATTTAAAAAAATGTGCTGTCAAAATTTAACTTGACTTCAGATAATATTTTCTGAACTACATCCGATACTACTCTTAGTATGCATGCTCACTTAAACTTCTTGGGATTGATTGGCTAGGCTGTTGTGCTCATTAGGGTCGGCATTCGGCAAAGCCGACCTGAAAGTGCTTGAGGTCGACAAAAAAAATGTTTTATGGTTAGACCTTTGTATCAAATAATTTTTGCCGACCTGATGCCAACCTCAAAAAGATTGAGGTCGGCATCAGAGGAAAATCACTTAACAAAATTTTTTTTTTATTTTACACTGTGTTTCATCAACAAAGAATCATCAGAAATGAAAAACTTTTTTTTCATTTCTGATGAGTCTTTGTTGATGAAACAGTGTAAAATGAAAAAAAATTTTTGTAAAGTGATTTTCTATTAATTTATATATATATATATATATATATATATATATATATATATATATATATATATATATATATATATATATATATATATATATATATATATATATATATATATATATATATATATATTGTAATAATAAATCTATATTTGTTTTTTTCTTACTGTCTTTGTGAATTTCTTTACTCAATATATTTGCATTTGCAAATACCCCCGAGGGTATAATAAACATTATAAGCGTTGAATAAAATATAATATGATGCACACTGAGAGCCACACAATACCAATATACCATTTTTAACGGACCTTTGCCACTTTTGGCTGCCATATGCTTGATTGTGCAATGATGATGTTCAACAATTCCATTTCTAGATGACCTGTAAGCGCAATGGATGGACACTTCCTATTCTGCACATAATTCACCAACTAGTTTTGAGCAAAAAGTCTTGCTGTTGTCAAGTAGAAGTTGCCACATTTTGAATTCTGCTACGAAGTCTTTATCAATCAGCTTTGAATAGCAGGCGTGGATACTTGACTTGTTTATTCTTGAGAGAATGCAGTAGCACTAATAGTTAGTTGCTTTACATTGAAGTTTACGGTTTCGCTGTCTCTCCTGACTTGGACACCTCCGAACAGCTGTATTGCATCCATACCAAGTATTGGATATTCAGGAACAATGTCAGCAACCAGGCATTCTAAATCGATGGTAGTATCACTCATAGAAAGTTCAAAAACAGTCTGGTATTTTACTTCAAATGATTTTCCATTCATCATAACAACCTTTTCTCTTGCGTGTTTGACACTTTTTATGTTTACAATATTCCAACTTAAAATTGATTTGGAGTATCCCGTATCTAACAATGCTTTTATTTTTCTTCCATTGATACATATGAAGAGAGTAGACGGTTTTAAATTTTGTGGGAAGCCGCTTGCACAAAAACAGGTGATTTCCCTTCCATGTTTTTTGAGTTTGTACATTTTTTATAGCAGTGCTGGGCCAGGTGATTTTCTATTCCACACACAAAGCACCTCTTCTTCTCAATTTCTTTGCTGCAGTTTTGACTGATATGTCCATCCTTGCCACAACGGCAGCACGTTATGGTCTTTTTTCCATGTCCTTGAGGAACCTGTCTTACTAATGCCAACAGGATTCACGCAACTGACGAAACATGATTTCGTCATGATGAACTTTGTGATGTAAGATTACCAAACTTCTTGATTTTTCAGCAATTTGGTACGGGGACATTGTTGATATTGAGCATGCAGTTTGCAGCTGTTTTTTTGCTTCGTCAGGTAATCCAAGAATAAATACGCACTTTATTCACTCTTTGCTTACATAAGATGATATTAGCTTGCTCAGCCTTGTTAATTCTGTAAGATAAATGTCAACAGACTCATTCTCTTTAAAATGGCGATTTACAAACTCTTTGTATGCTGTTAGCAGAGAAGCAGAGAAGGCAGTAGTCAGTGCATTTTTCACTTCATTGTAGTCTTCTTTTATCTCATCACTAAGACCTTGATAAACGGCAAACACCCGCCAGAAAAAAATAAGGGGAGCACCACATGCAGCTTGTCAACTTTTTGAAGTTTTGCTACCAGTTCCAATTTCTGTATTCATTCTGAAAAAATACCCAAAACATTGTACTGCAACACTAAATCTGAAAACTTTATCACAATGCTCATTGCCGAAATAGCTTGTAATAATAAATCTATATTTGTTTTTTTCTTACTATCTTTGTAAATATCTTTACTCAGTATATATACATTTGAAAATACCCCTAATTCACCTTTGTACAGGATACTGTTGTCAACATGTACTGTTGACTAGATTTTCTAATAATGTCCTTTCTCTTCTAGACATTGTCTAAAAATGTATCGTAAAGTTAGCTGAACCTGCTTAATCAGCCAAAGTTGAGCCACTAGCTATCATAATAAGGTGGCATCTTTTTTCTACAAACACTATCATGGTTTCTGCTCAGACAAGCTATTTTCTCTAGTTCCATCAATCCAAAATCAATATTATGTGACTTGTTACTCAGCTATGTCACATCCTTTTACTATTTTTATTTCTTGCTAATTAATACTTTGGAACTCTCTCTTATATTCATATTTTCTTGACTCATAGAACTTCACAGTTCAAGTCTGTAAATGATTTTCTTTACAATATTTTTAATTTGAGCCACTCAAACAATTTGAGCGACTCAAACAATTTAAGCCACTCAAATAATTTGCGTAATTAAAAAAAAAAAAAATTGATTTTTGTAGATCACTATAAACGTGTTTCTAATAATATAGCCTGTAAATTAATGGTTACAAATACTTACATTCTTAAATGCCTGCAGATGACTTTTCCTTTTAACTTTTTCATCGAATAACTAATAAAACATTTTTCTTACTGAAAAATATGTTTCCGCGTGGAAAACAATCAACAAACTGTTGTCCATTAAGAGTGTTATGATATATTAAAAAATTATTCTGAGTATACCATTGTTGTCCATAGATTATCGCGGTGACTACTTCATTATATTTATACATCAACCTAAGCCCTATTAGCATTTTATCTTTTTGGGGGAATACTGGTTTCGCGTATAGAGGTGGTTTTGGTTTTGAGCGGGCAGAAAATGGACACCTGAATACATGAATATACCCGAGTCATAAATATAGTTGAATATATCATGAATATACCTGAATACATGAATATACCCGAGTCCAAATTCGGCAGACGTATTTATTCTAAAAATACATGGCGATACCTACTACGCCGTTTATAAATACGTCTGTTCAATAATACTAGTTTCGACTAGTTTATTTATTACTAGTTAGACTCGAAGCTAGTATTATTGAAAACCAGACTATTGTTATATGAAAAGCCTACAAAGCAGGGTGGCGGACGCATTGGGTGCCTTGCATCAATTCAGAATTCATAAGAGTTTATGGGCCCGTAAATAATATTTACTTTTTAGTTTTACTAAGCTTTTGTTGTTAATAAAAAAATATATTATTTTAAAATGACAATATAAAATAGAAACAAAACAGATACAATTAAAAAAAAAAAAAGTCTAGATAGCATTCAATAGAACAGTATACAAATAAAATAGTAGCTAAAAAGTAACCTACAAATATGGTGGTCTTAGATATTGATTCAGAAACGAGACCTAGTGTTACAGAAAATTTTAAATTAATTAGTAATTCACTTCATTAACCAAGTACAAAACTTGACTTGGATTCATAACAGCAGAATTTCAATCAGAAATAAATAATTTTGATACCAAAGGTTATATTGACGTTCCTTTAGAGCTGCCGAAAGATGATTAAAATCAAAAATTTACTTAAGGTATATTAAAGTTTATACAGTGTACTCGAGACTGGCTAGTCTGGAGTAAGCATAAAGCTTCTATATTTTATTTTCCTTGCCGATAATTTTAAAACAATATCTGTTTTAAGTTAAGTACTGCTTCTAAATCTTTATTAACTACAGTTGAATGCAGCCTGCTATGGCCAATGAGCAGAAGTTATATAACAGGATTCCAAATCACAAAAAGAGTAATTGGCTTAGAGGATACTACCTTGCATGTGATGAATTAGAAAGGCGTTTTTCAATTTAAGACAGTATTGAATCATCAGTTAATATGGAATTGAAAAAATGTTACTAAATTTTAAGAAGAACTGTTATTATTTTTTTAGAAGATTGTAACATTTCTTTACAGCGATCTTCACAACGTATTGGTGACAACGTATTGGTGAATAATAGAAAATTTTTTAGGTGTGATAGAGTTGTTTTCTAACGAGGACCCTATTCTAAAGCTATACGATCTAAAAGTAGCAGAGTCATATAAAAAGGACGAAAGACTGAAGGTACATTACTTCTAAAATGATTTACAAAATGAATTTATTGCAGAATGACCGGACCTTTTCCATACATGCGTTTTGGAAGAAAAGAATTTTACAACAATAATGATGTTACTTAACTTGCTGACTGTGGTGCGCAAAACTATGGCATTGCACCAAACATATGAGACAAATACAAGGGAGCACAAAGTATATTGAAAGACCAGCCTGTTAACACTTTGTTTTCAACTTGTGGCTGCCATAAACTTAACTTATGTAGTAAAGAAGCTGTTGAATGTATTCCAAAAGCCATAACCTACTTTGAAGTTATGAAAAAAATGAACACCTGATTCAGTTCTAGCTTAAGGAAACGGGGAAATTTCTATAGGAATTTAATACAAAAAAATAACAAAACTTTTTTACAACACCAGAGTTAATTTCATATTAGCTGGAAGAAAACAAACAGCTGTGCCATTCATCAGAATCACAAACCTGGTAACAATCAAACACACAAACCACAAACCTGTTTACCAATTTTTGAAATCATGAAAAATTGGTTAACGATTTTTTTATTATTACTATTTTTATTGATATAACATTTTATTGTCTTTTACAAAAAAGAAAAGTGTTATAGGTGACAGGGGGTCACTAGTACATTCAAAGGGGGTCACTAGTTTTTCCAAAGAAAGTGCTAGTGACAAATTTTTTGTAAATACTGATTTTATATACCACATTATCCTTTCTATCATATACGATTTAGCATCTTTACTTTTGTTGTATAAAGTACAACAGCTTTTTTTTTTTTTTGCGTAAAATTTTGTCAAGGCTTTTGTAGTGACGTACGGACGACTTTTGAATTATACACTAGTCACGAGGTTAGTATTATCTTGTTCTATCTCCATTTTTTAAAAGACTTGATTTACTTATCTTGTTATGCGCCTCAAAATAATGTTTTTCTACTGTACTGAAACCTAAGTTCTAAATAAAAACTGCAGAAATTATAATAAATAAAAATCTTTTTATATGCTGTCTTTTAAAGTTTTTGTTTCTCTAATCGTTTCATCTTAAAGCTGAATATATGTGAAGATAGAAAAAAATAATTATAACTTCGCGTAATGTAAATAATTTTAAAAAGTTTAACAATGGCTCTTGGATTTCAGAAAGGTTCGGTGAATTTTTTGGATGTCAACTCTTAACAGAGAATTTCAGCCAATCATTTTTTTAAAAAATAAAGATCTGTTACATTTATTTCAAGTTATATAATTATACTTCTCTTTTCTCTTTATGGAAAAAAAAAATTGATATTTAAACGGCTCTACCGATCAAGCATCATTTTTTTTAACCTTAGCCAATTTTATATAAAATAACAGACAACAAGCAAACTTTCTTAAAAATAAAAACAAATTAAATGTATTTGTATTTAGATTCATAAGCGAACTATATTTATAATAGCAGATAAAGCTGTTGAGCATCCAGATAGGAAACCGGAGGCATTTGCTTTTTATAATAACAGCAAACTAATTATATTCAAAATTACATAATCAAGAATTTGGAAATACTGTATACTTAATTTATATTTACGAATATTATTATTTTGAGTGTACACGTTTTTAATTTGAACAATATAAATACTTCTTTATATTAACCGTTTTCAATGTATCATATTACCAGATGTATTGCTTGAAGGGCTTTATCAACTGTTTTAATAACGTAAGGTTGCGTGGCGTTAAACATAATTATTTTATGTAGCGCAAGTGATTAAGGGATCGATATGCGCATAAACTTTTCACCGAAACAAGAAATTTCTTAATAACGCAATTCATTATGGAATTAATATGTGGGCAAATACGTTCTGTGACGAAAGCAAAACTCTACACTATTTAATAGTTGATAAAAGAGCAAGGATTAGCACTGAGAATCAGCACAAAATTCTTAGAAATGTTGCAGCGTCATTCTTTTTTATGCTTAAATAAATTATTGATATTTCGGCTTATAGCGAAAGCCATTATCAAACAAAAGATATTAACACAAAAGTTGATTATGTTGTTACTTACTATTTTTAAGTAAAAAAGAAATGAATCTACTTCAATTACAATACTACTACTGCTACTACTACTACTACTACTACTACTACTACTACTACTACTACTATTACTACTACTACTACTACTACTACTACTACTACTACTACTACTACTACTACTACTACTACTACTACTACTACTACTACTACTACTACTACTACTACTACAACTACTACTACTACTACTACTACTACTACTACTACTACTACTACTACTACTACTACTACTACTACTACTACTACTACTACTACTACTACTACTACTACTACTACTACTACTACTACTACTACTACTACTACTACTACTACGACTTCATAAATCTAAATTTGCTTAAAAAATTTGGTAAATAAGGTTAGCTTTACTTTTTAGTTAATGAAAATGAAAACTAAAAAATTTTTTATTTAAAATTAAAAAAACTTAATATTTCGTTTACTGGATCCTTTTTTAACCCCACCCCTCAACCAAATTATGTGCATCTGATAAATTATATTTCTTTTTGTTTTAAATTAACTTTTTTTAAACTTTAAAATTACTTCTAGTTTGTAATTTATTTTACCTGCGTTTTATTAAAAAGCAACTTGTTTCTTGTTATTTCTTATTATCTTCTTTATTATTTTGCGTTAATTCGTTTCTTATTTTTTATTTTGTCTTACTTATTTTATCTTGTAAATTTTAAATTTTAAAATAAAATGTTATTTAAAGAATAACTATAACAAAAATGACTTTAAATCAATATTTATTTAATACTAATTTATTACTATATTTTATTACTGATTTAAATACCTTGAAAGAAAAATATCCAACAAAAAGAGAGATAATATCTGAAAGCATATGAAATGAATCAGCAACTAGTGCCATAGATTTTGTCAAATAACCAACTGTAATTTCTACAAAAAACATTGATGTCGTCAAAACCATCATAACATAAAACGTTTGACTTTTTCCCATACATATTGGTAAGCGACACATAGTTCCAACAATACCACGATGTATAACAAACTACTCTTAAAAGAATTGTTTGTAAATACAAAGTTTGACTTCAAGGTTTTAACGCGACTTACAAAGTGAATATTTAAATGATTACGTAAGTATGCACATTTTTTTAATATTATTAAAAAAAACACCCACTCGAGTCCCATTTCTGAGAATTTCTCGGTTAACTTAACTGTGAGTATACTTTTAATTCCTCAACAACAAGATAAAAAAACATGATGTATTTTACATTTAAATAAGCAGCTTTTTAAATAATAATAATTTTTTATATTTTTATGTAGCTGTTATAAAAATATCTTATCAGCGTGTAACTGCACAAAATAAATTATTACTTATTCAATTGTATCGATCTATGAGTGTGTGAGGGGAGGAGTGTAACAAATGTATAGTTTTATTTCGTAATATATGTTGCCAAATGGGCAAATTAGAGCGTGTTTAGAAACACGTACAACTTTATACTAGCATTTACTTCGTATGGCTGGAGCCAAGTTTAAAAAGAGGCTGATGAAGTTTTATGTGGAGGCTGCTTATGAAAAATAAAAATTAATTTTTAGTTTTTATTAGAGTACATTAGCTTTAAAATTCAAATTTGAGAAGCCGCAGTGCAGTGATTAAAGGTGTGGCTTCAGAATCAAAAGGTCCGAGCCTTGCATAACAAGTATGCTATACATATATTACAAAACAACATCGACAATAATAAAGAAACAAGGAATATTTCAAAAGACGTAATAGAAAAAGAAAGGATTGGGTAACACTCAAGTAATACTTTGCTAAACCATTGATAAACTAATAAAAATTATTTTAAAAACATCGAAAATTCATTAGCTGATAAAATAACTCTAAGTAAAAAAAAATTTAAATCATTTAAGAGAAGTGACAAAAGTAAAAACATGCTTTTCACAAAACCGTTCAAATCAGACAATACCGTTAAAATTTCCAAATGTTCTAGTTGAAAAGACTAAACTAAAAAAAAAACATTTTCTTTAAAGTTTCTAGGAGTAATACTACATAAGCATATCTGGAAGGAGTACATTAAGTTATGAGAAAACAAAACACATAAATGCATTAGAACTATGTATAAAACTAGATATATTTCAAAAAAAATGTCTATGCGATTTTCAAAGCTACATTAGTTACAGCAATTTTGCCTAGGTAACAGCTTACCAATTAAAACTAGTTTTAGTTTATAAAAAACAAAAGCAAGTATGTTGTATAGTAACAAATGCCGATAAATATGCTAATACCAAACAAATAATTAGAGTTTCTAATATTTACAAATAAAATATCTATAGCATTCTTTAGTTTAGGTTTGAACTAAAAAAATCATTTTGTGCCAAATATTCCATATTATATTAAACTTATTGACCACAAATACGAAACAAAATATTCTATCCAGAATGTCAAACTTCTTAATATCTAGAAGAGGACCACTGTTGGAACTCGTTTCTTATAAGTAATATTAAAACGACAAACTCAATCCAACATTTGAAATAGTTTGTTAAACAACAGTTACTTGACCTCAACATAAATAAAACGATTTCCAAATTTTAGAACTTTTTCACATCTTAAATTTTTTCATGCATATCATATCATATCTTGATATTTATATATTTCATGTATATTAGTTATCTTGATATTTTTGGGTATTTTATATTTACTTGGTTATTTTATTTATATTAAGTGTTAAATATAAGTATACTATAATGTTTTTAAAGTTTGCAATAATTTTATATTTCATTGATATTGGTTATAAAATACAAATTAAATGGTGCTAGGTGATAAAAAAATTAATAAAAAGTTTTCAATTGCTATTTTGTACATTAGTCTATTAAACTCTTTTTCAAACCATTTAAATATTTACGTTGTTGCTGTTCAACGATCTGCAATAAGTACGTTAGGTTGCCATTTTTGTTTTGCCTAAGAGCGCAATTGTTGACTGATAAGCGGCTTACTGATAACCAAATAAGCTTTCCCGTGTTTTTAGGTCAACTTTCCAAAATTCAGTCGGGATTTTCAATGTTTCAAAGAATCAAATTGACAAGTTTGTTTATTTAGTTAGCAACAGATTTTTCAATGATGTTTGTCATCTGAAAAGTATTTCTTTTCAAAGGTTTGCTGAGTCTGTTATATTTTCTAATGGCCTTATTATTTCTCTCTTCTCTAAAAAACAGCATCGGGATAAAAAAATGGTAGTGAAATCAATACCTCGCTGAAATATCACAGGTGCTCAAAGAAAGCTGGTAACTGCAATCGAAATGTAGTAGACCTCTTTGTTGTTAAGCTATTGTGACGTAAGACCTGAAACATCGGTTTATAAAATGACGTAATTACATGACCACATTTATCTTGGTTAAGATTGTCATTGCGAAATATGCTCTCATTGATTTGTATTATTCAAATGACCTTTTTTTCCTCTTATGCTCGTTACATTATTTATAAGGTGTAGTGATTATTCCACTGGAAGCTAGCTCTATAAGTTTTAAAATGCTCAGCCACCACTAATCTTTTCTCCGATCTTGATAAGAACTTAATTTGTGTTGGATCCTTGAGAAAGTTAAACATACTAAAACATATAACTAAAAACGAGCACAAAAATTTGTATCAAGTGACGCAATACCATCGCGTTTATATTAACTAATTAAAGCTCATAAAAATAAAAAAAAGATTTAATGCGTTTAATTGTTAGTACTATTAGAATACTTACTTACAACATTTCTAAATATTCATAAATGTATCTAATATATATATATATATATATATATATATATATATATATATATATATATATATATATATATATATATATATATATATATATATATATATATATATATATATATATATATATATATATAAATATATATATATATATATATATATATATATATATATATATATATATATATATATATATATATATATATATATATATATATATATATATACATGTTAAACGTTCTTAGTTTAACAAATGTATAATTCTCAGTAATAAATTAAAGTTAAAAATAAAATGTAATTAAATTGAAATATCCGATTTGTATTTTATTTATGATTGCTCTAACCATTCTGTATGATCATTATATTACATTATATTATATTGATGCCCCCATCAGGCTTAAAAGCTCGACGTAACACACTTTGTACATCAAACACGTTTACACTTTTTACACGTCTTTTCTATGCAGAACAGTTTTCTTAAACAAATAATTACAAAAATAATTACGAAATATGAGAAAAGCTTGTTTTGAGCGCGCCTAAATTTATAAAAACTCATACTGTAATTATATTCCTTATACTGGTTGTAAAGGAAATAATTTTTTATTTTTTAAGTTTTTTTTTTATATTTATATGAAATGGTGATTTTTAAAATTTTATAAAAAGCTTCGTACGAAAATTTTTTAAAAAGTTAGAAAAATACATACATAAGTAGATATATATATATATATATATATATATATATATATATATATATATATATATATATATATATATATATATATATATATATATATATATATATATATATATATATATATATATATATATATATATATATATATATATATATATCTCTATATGTCTCTCTATATATATCTTTTCTAAACATTAAGTAAACATATAATGAGTAGACTATGTTTATATTCAAAATTACGTCAAGAAAATATTTTATACTTTTTTAAAAAGACGCATTATGAAAAAAAAATTTGAGAACTTTTTTTCATAATGTACTTAAGTTTAATTGGTTTTCAATAGTTGTAGGAATGTCGTTGCACATCAAGTTTGTTTTTTAAGGAAACATTTATTTGTTCAACGAAATTTATGTTGTACTGCAAATGTTGCGGGGAAAAAAATTTCTGCCAGAGTTGTTATACTACAAAACCGCAAAACTTTTATGCAACATTTCTTTAACTATTGCAAATGAAGCTTTAATCTACACAACAACCGCTATTAAAAAAATCATTAAAAAATATTTCATACTTATGGTAACTTTGCTTTGTACCACCAAACTATGAATAGAGCATGGAATAAAGTTATAAATTAACTTATAAAATAATAACTTCTAATTCATCAGGTTCTGTATCAATATCCAGATTTACAGTATTGTTTTGAATAGAAAAAGCACAGCTACTTAATGGGCATGCGTCACTGGGTGTGCTCTAATAAACCGGAAATAATAAATGATTTCTGATTATAACGCGCAACATACATTCTAAACTGACACATCTGAAATTATACTATACAGGGCTTTTGATATGCATGCTTTATTTGAAATATGGATTGAACGGATAAATTCCACAAAAACGAAATCCTGAGCATATATTTAAATCAGTCTTTACACATTTCGGCGCTTTTAAAAATAAACCACAAAAATTAGAATGTAACACTCTCACCTCCGGGTGTTCATTCATCATTGTTCGAAAGACATTACTAATGTCTTTAGAGTACGCATTTTTCTCTAATGTCATTAGAGTATGCATTTTTCAGTGGCTTAAAAACTGTTCAGTCACAAAGATGTGAGCTGGAAGCTTTACATTTTCAATTTGGTTTGAAATAGTCAGATCAATCATTTGAATCAAATCCATGTTGCTCCTCATGTCACTCTTCTCAAACCCATGAAGGATGTTTATAGTTTTTTTTTCTCGCTATTATACACGCATTGATCTATGATCTAGTTGCATCCCTGTTTCATCCATGTTCCAAACACATTCTGGTTTGTCCAATAAGTTCTTCTTTTGCATTAGGCATTTTAAAGTTATAAAGTATTTTGAATTTTTACATATGTTGCACGAAAGCTAAAGGTTTCGGATAACGATGATTTGCGCTACCATGTTTTTTTAAATAAAGTAGTTTTTAAAATTTAGTTTTTGTTTTTTTCGCCAGTTTAGCAGCACAATCGATAAATGTTTCTTTTTTTCAAAACCACTTTCCATTTTAAAATATCAAGAAGCATTGGCCTACTTCATAAGACCAAATCTTTTAATAATTCAGCAGCCGTATTCACATCCCTCCGTTAAACCCCTGCGATAAGCTATCGGCTGGTTAAAAGCAAAACGGCAGTTTTTAACGCCAGCGATAAAATAAACTCGTATTCTAATGTCTCCATTTAGTTAACGGCAGGAGAAAATTTAGTTATCGGAAGGCTGTTGACCCTTTAACAGTCCCGTGTTTTTTTAAAAACGGTTGCGATTAGTTCATCTTTTTTTTTTTGAAGTGGTCTCTAAATGTCCCGTATTTTTAAATTCATCGTGTTTTTTTACTAATAGAATAAAAAAAATTTTTTACTATTTTTAACATTATTAAACACTACAAAATGTTATTATTCAAGTTTAAAATATATAAAATATAAGCATAAGATTTTTAAAATGTATTAACTAATATTCACTTTTTGTATAACAATTGTAAGCAAGGAGCTGCAAAAAGTCCTACATCACATTCTACACATTCATATCCTGAACCTTTTTGAATATTGCGTTTGTGACATACCGCACACCATTTTTGACCATTAATCTTTTATTATAATTTTCAATAATCATTCATTAAATATATCTTTTCATTATTGATTCATCAATTGTATAAAATTCTATCTTTTCGTGAGTAAATGTTTACTTTTTGATAATTATTTTTGCACTGAAAAAACTTCCTTATTTGTCATATTTAAAATTAAATTGAACACGTTTATAAGACAATTATTGAAACAAAAGCACTGTAATTATCTAGTAATAACTTTTGTGACAAGTAGACGTATAATAACTGATGAACAAGAAGGAAATATAAGGAGATGCACAAAACCGTAATAATACGGCATGGACATTTAGAAACTGCTTTTAGTTTGCCTAATATTACGGCATGGACTGTTAACGGGTTAACGCCATAATCTCACCCTACTTCGCCCTTCTGTTAAAACTGCTATCGGAGAAATTTTCTTTTATATTAAGAAAAATTAAAAATAGTATCCAAACAAAACAAGCTTATTGAGTTTTCCTCATTAATAACTGTTAGATAAACTGTTTATTATTAGTTGTACTAGAAATAAATAAGTTTACTTTTATGCTAAATAAGTTTTATTATATAAAAATATATTATATTTTATGTTGAGTTTTTGAGTGTTGATGTTTATGTTGAGTTTTTATGTTGAGTGTTGAGTGTTTATGTTGAGTGTTGATATTTTTATATATTATCTTGAGTTTGCGGTCCAGGCATGGTCTCCATTTTTAAAACAAGACATTGACAAGATTGAGAAAATTTAAAAAAGAGCAACCAAACTAGCACCTACAATTAGGAAATTATCATATGAGGCTAGGTTGAATATTATGCAATTAACGTCACTGGAAGAACGTAGATTACGTGGAGATCTGATTCAACCTTCAGGTATCATTTTTTCCAAAATCGAGTTGTAAATGCGTGGAACAGCTTACCATCTGAAATAATAGAAGCTACTTCAATAAATAACTTCAAAAACAAACTAGACAGAGCTGGATTTTGCAGAAACTATTTGTTAAAACACAAACAAAAGACAAAATGAGCTGTTACAGTGCAATATCTTATGTTATTGCACTTCGCAACTGTTTAAAACAGTTGTTACAGTTATACCTTATTATTATATATGTTATAAAATGAATTATTTTTTAAATTATAAAATTTTTTAAAATATAAGATATATTATAATATAAAATATGTTATATTTTATGCTAAATAAGTTTTATTATATAAATACTATAATGTATTTTAATTAGACATTTATTGTATTTTATAATAAATACATTCATTTATCATGAAATCAAATGAATTTTGTTTAATAGTATATACTATTACGAGCGCATATTTATATATGTCCGTATGTATGTTACATGCACGTATATATGTATGTACGTACATATGTATGTTACATACTATCATACATAAATACATGAAAATATACATACATAATTGTTTCTTACTTGTTTCTTATCTGTTTATGTATTACACACACACACAAACACACACACATTTATACATATACACATATATATATTTACACACACAGACACACACACACACACACACACATATATATATATATGTATATATATATATATATATATATATATATATATATATATATATATATATATATATATATATATATATATTTTTTTATATATATATACACACACACACACATACACACACACACACACACACATATATATATATATATATATATATATATATATATATATATATATATATATATATATATATATATATATATATATATATATATATATATATTTATATGTATGTATGTATATATATATTTGTGTGTGTAAATACCTATATATATGTAATATATATATTCTATTCATAATTCTATTCATATACAATGTATATATGTGTGCGTGTGTGTGTGTGTGAGTGTGTGTGTATGTGTAATATATGTATATGTAATATATGTGTATACCTATATTACACACACAAGTATATATATATATATATATATATATATATATATATATATATATATATATATATATATATATATATATATATATATATACTTGTATACATTATTATTTACATATATACATATATGAGTGTGTGTCCGTGTACGTGTGTTCTTATATTAACTTCTGAATCTTAGATTATGAGTAATGTAGACATTGAAATATTAGAAGTTGATTTTGCACAATAACATGATCCATTGCAAAGACTTAATCGATCTTACTAAGTGAAAAAGAATAGATTTTTTCTTTTGTTGTTTATCAAACGCTATTTGTATAACTTAGAACTTAAAATCTTTTTCTTTAATATTGCTCGGCTTTACAAATTTTCATAACTAAATATTTACATTTAAAGAACACAATTTTCTTTTTTATTATAATAAAAAAGAATAATAAAAACTATAGTTTTTATGTAAATTTTTTTACAATTTTCAAAAGATTTTGTTATGTATTAAAACTTATCTATGTATTATATAAAAACTGTTATAATTATTAATGATAATTAATTATATATCATTTAAACTTAGTATTTTTTCACTGTTACAAATAGTTTAATATTTTAGAATCTTATAAATGAACCTATAAGTTGGGGAAATTTTAAATAAATTCACAACTAAAAATAAATAAATAGTTATTTTATGTGCTTATATTTAATATACAAAAAATAAGTTATACAAAAATGCTGCTACATTAATTGACAAGAAAGTTATAATGTTTTTAAGTGCCTTTCTACAATTTTTTTTTTTTAATAAATCTTCTTTTAATAAAAGTATTTTTGCTTTTATAGATGTGTTTCTTTTTTCTAACTCTACTAACTCCTTTTTAGAAATAAAGTAATCTCTTTTAGCCTGAAGCTTTAGCACTTCTTCCCTAAATTTAAATTTCTCCTCAGTTAAGTAACTCTCCATATCAACAGTTGGCAGGTGGAGAGCTGGAGTGAGTTTTTTTTTTCCAGACAAATTTTGGTCGTTTTTTAATATATCATCTTACACAGTAGATCGTTTAGTTTGTCCTGAGTTATCTTTGTTCCCATTTTCTGATGTAATTGCAGTGTGTAGCATTGTACAACTTGCACCATTAATCACAACTGGATTAACAGTATTCTGTATATCGCAAACAAAATCGGTGCTATTGGTTTCCACCCCTTTCAAACCAAAAAATATTAGAGAATTTTCTCCGCATATATCCAATATTTTCTAGCTGAATTCTGTTAAAATTACTGCTAGTCCTCCCCCCGTCGGAGTTTTTTTTTTTTTTGATGAAATCTCTTTTTTGGCATTTTTAAGAAGATTATCCCATAATCCTTTCACTCTGGTAACTGTTCTTTTATCAAATCCTAAGCTGATTGCAGCATCGGTGTTGTAAAATACACATAAGTACCAAAATTTATAATGCTGCCTAAACTAAATATTTTATTCAATATATATAATATAAAGGATTACCTCATTCCATATACAATTTCTTCGTTTATTTATCTCCGCCTCTCCATCTTTAGACAAAAGAACATCTTTATGTTCTTCAAACTTTGAAATTAACCAACCATTTCTCTTCTGAGAACTTCCCCTTTTCCTCTGGCGGCACGTTTTTTCTCAACTTTCATAGTTGATACTGCCATTGTTTTAAAAAAAAATTCCAACTTATAATCTGTATATAATATACTAATAGCTTATATATAGGATACTAATAATTGTATGATTAGAATAAATATTTTTAAACAGTATGTAATAAGTTTGTAATGTCATTAAAATAAAGTATTATAATACTTTTATACTATAATACACCTAATTAGGTGTCTTATGCTTTAGTCTAGACTTATTTTTAAGAAATAGTGAAACATTTTAAAGATTGCCTAGGGTAACAAGTGTTAATTACTATGATGGTATTTGTGAAACATTGCCAGAAAAATATTTTTTGTAACGAGTCTGTATTTCTAATAGAAATAAAACTGAAAGTAAGTGTAGAAAATATTCGATGACAATGCCTCGACTCGTTCGTATGCATTTAGTTTTTGCAGAAGACGTCAAGAAATAGCAGTCCGGTGAGGTCTTAGACGTGAAAGGTTGTTTAGAGACCGAACCAACCCACTTGATATTTATGATGATGTTGACTTATATCAAAAGTTTAGGTTTTGTCGAGCTTCTATTTTCTATTTTGAAAATTTGCTGAAAACAGATTTACAACCAAAGTCAAATCAAAGTTTTTGTGTTCCGCTAATCTATCAAGTATTATGCGCACATCGATTTTATGCAACAGGATCTTTTCAGATTGTGATTGGTGATTCTACAGCAGCTTTAAGTCAACTAACTATTTCTAGAATTATTCGCCGATTTTCTTTGAGTCTTGCAAAAAGAGTCAATGAACACATTAAGTACCCAACTGATCCACACGTTTTAAATGAGAGCAGAGTAAATTTTTATAATGTGGCAGAATTTCCAAGAATAACTGGATTAATAGACGGCACGCACGTTTGCATACAAAAGCCACGCGAGCACGAATATGTTTATGTTAATAGATCATCAAATCATTCGATCAATGTCCAAGCGGTGTGTAATTATAACGGAAAGTTCATTGATATTGTTGCAAAATGGCCTGGAAGCACATATGACGCAATTATGAAAATAATAATGAAGGCATAGTTGCTGAAAATAACTTTCGATTTCGTGATAATTTTGTTTTGCGACATTTTGGACCATAAGTTGTTTTAATATTTTCTATGTCATAAGTTATAAAAATTTTTTTATATTGTAACGTGTTTTAATTAAATTTTTAAAATTTACGTTGCAGTTATTAATAAAAAAATCAACGGCTGCGATTTCCTAATTAAACAGCTTTATTGTCTGTTAACATCGCAACGCTTAAATGCCATGAAAAAAACAACAAGAAAACTAGTTAACAGAGCTCGCTAACGAAGAAACTTTAACTGAAAAAACTATCGGAGTGGTTAATAAACGGAATGATTAACTTTCCTACGTTTTATAACCGGCCCTTAAAAGTTTTTTTCTTAACGGACACTCAAATTCTCCGTTAGTTTAACGGAGAGTTGTGAATACGGCGGCAGGTTGTTTAAAACTCTTATATTTCTCCCTCATTCATTTCTATCTTAATTACGCTAACATTGCTTGTTGTAGTAATAGCACCAATAAAAATAAATAGAAAAAAGTCTTTAACATCCGAAAACATGCTATTATACCCAATGAAAGCCGCTATACACCCTTCCAACCTTTATTTGTTAAGTTAAAATATAATAAATATCTGCCAGATAAATATTTATCATCTTCTAATTTTTATGTTTAAAATTAATACAAGTATTATTCCAAAAACTTTATTTGTTAATCCGTTATTCAAAACAAAACAGATTAAGTACTCAACTAGATATTCAAATAACACTTATATACAACCCAAATGTTATTTTGAGGCAACAGAGTTTTCAATTTCAATTAGAGGACCAAAGGCATGGAATGAAATTACTTACAACTGAACTTAAAACTATAACAATAAACAATGTTTAATGAGTTTAAGGCTAAACTTAGACAGTTAGGGGAAAGCGGGGCAACATGGCGAACGTTTTGAAAGGCCTGAGTTATTGCAAAACTATCAGTCGTGAAGCAATAATACTTTCTGAGTATGTTTATGTTATTAAAATGATTTATTCCCTGCATAAATTTTCCGTTTGCAAATATAACAATTTGAAATAAATATTAAAATAAAAAGTTCATAAATTTGTCATCTGGTCACGTGACCGGGGCAAGATGACTTATTATTCAATTTTTACCTCCAATTTTATAAAATTTTAAAAACTACCAATAACTCTAACTAAAGTAACAAAAAATAAACACAAATCACCAAAAACTACTTCTAAAGAAGTTAAACTTGAAGGACATCATCCGTTATGAGAAACCGAAAGTGAGGAATTTTTTTTTAGGCGCAAAAAGTAAACTTATGAGTATAAAATTGCGTTAATAATATTTCAAAAAACCAATTGGTATTTTAAAATACAAAATGCAAATACAGTTTCATTTTCACCCATTTTTAAGATTTTTTATTGAGTTGTTATATGAAAACCCATCTTGCCCCATTCGCCATGTTGCCCCGTTTTCCCCTAATTCTAAAAAATTATATACCACAAAACTATTTATGAAAATTCAATATATTCTTATGATTTGATCTATCACATAAATGAAAAGTATATTAATTTCAAAAAAGATTGAGTTAAATGCACTTAGTTCCTTTTTAAATTTATTTATGTCTTTGTTTGATATGTGTTGTTATTCTTTATATTTTTCATCCTTACACTTTTGTTATGTGTTCTGAAGTTTGACATAAAAAAAAAAAAATCATGATTTTTCAATGAACAAAAAATAAATATTTCCGTGTTTTTAAAAGAATATTTTCAAGTCAATAGCGCTTTTATTATTAGATGTTATTTTTCTATTAATAGATTTGAATGCAGTTTTTTTTTTAGTTTCCCGAAAGTTTTCATAGTTGGACTTCCGCCCTTTTGACCTTCCCCGATTCGTTTATTTTACCACTTTTAAATTTGTTTATTTTAAATAGCTTATTTTATCCAAACTGAAAGATATAATTTAAAACGTCTAAAAGAACAGTGCAAAGAGGTAAACAATACTAATTTAGATGGAGATTTTTACTACGGTATTTAAAATAATAAGGTAGTTAATCTCAAGAAATAACAATTACCAGTTTAGTTAATGACCGATATCCAGCAAATTAACTCTAACAGCAAGACCAATTGTTTACCAACCATCCTAAAAAACTAAGCTTTTAAAACCATCAAATGCGCTTACTTCAATGCTTGATCAATAAGTAATAAACTACATCACCTACACAATCTTCTTGAAAACATTAATTTTGACATTATACTCATAACCGAAACTTCGCTAAATAAAAAAACACCTGATTCATTACTGTTAAATGGAAATAATATTAAAGTATTTCGATATGATCATAACTAGGGATGGCTCTTTTACTTATTTTGATGTAAACATAACCAGGGGTGCGGAGTCGGAGTCGGAGTTGGAGTTGCGGAGTTGCGATATTTTTAGCGGAGTCGGAGTCGGAGTAGCTAAACAAAATCGCGACTCCGACTCCAATAGTAAAACTTCTCGGTATTTCATGTGCATGTGAAAAACATTAAATTAAACTTATATTCATACTAAAGAATGTTTAAAAAAGCTATTTATGAAGTAAACTTACGTAAATATAGTAATTTAAAAACACAACACCTAGTTCACAAAGTGAAATTAAAGTACAATACAGACCCGTAGCAACCAGGGGGTCAGTAGGAGCATTTGCAAAGAGTAAATAATTTTGATAAAAAATGGCTGAAAAAGTGACTAAATAATTTTTGTTCCTGAGGCCCTGTATCACAACAACAAATTACTTTTATAACTTATTAGCAAAAACAGCTAATAAATAACTTATTAGCAAAAACAGCTTACATGAAAAGTAATTGGAAAAAAATTGTTATTTACAATTACAAATAATAGAAAATTTTGTGTTTGAAATTTTAAATTTTACTTAGTAAGTAAGTAAAATGTAAGTTATATTATTTACTCTCTCAAAGAACAGTAATTTTATGTTGTTGTTGTTTTTGTTTTTTTTTAAATATATTTTGCTGTTTATATAAAAATAAAATATTAAAATTACAATGAAACCTTTACGATACACAAAGAATATATATAAAACAGACGGGGGCTTAAAGAAGATAAGGATGACTGGCGTCACCACAATTTTTTTATAGAGCCTCTTTACAATATCATTTAAAATTGAGAATTTCAACACTTGCGATTTTACCCTGCTCAAATGATAGTTATGGTTGTTATTTGACCGAAGATTGTATTTTTGTGAAAATGCTGATGTAAAAATACTAGTTGTTAAAAATATCATATGTATCATGTTGATTTAACATAAATTTTGAAATATTTTTGGGTATTGTTTGAGGGCACTACTGGGTAATACTTCAGATAATACTCTGATGTATGTAGGCAGTGTTTGAAGTTTGGCATTGAGAATAGATTTTTTTTCACGTATATCATAAAGGGTAGTTCTATTACAATTAGGGGCAAATATAGTCATTATGCGGGTATTCCGGTAGTGTAGAGACGGGCTCCCTGCCGCATGAGAGCCATAGTAATAAATGATCATTGAGTTTTTATTTCTTTTTTTTTTATTGAACAGAAATAGGTTAGTGGTTACTTCATTTTTCAGCCTTGTTAAAACTCTGATATCATTTGTGTAGTCCCCATAAATATGCATGTTAAATTTTTTTCCTGGGCAAGATAGGCCGTTTTCATTTAAATTTGGGGTTTATAACTCTTTAGAAAGAAACATTTTTTACAAAAAACCTTTAAAAAGGCATTTTAAAAAATGCCTTTTTAAAGCTTTTTTTGTAAAAAATGTTTCTTTCTAAAGAGTTATAAACCCCAAATTTAAAAAAAACCACCCTAAAAACCCCCAAAAAAAAATACCCTAAAAAATTCGCTACATTAAATAAATTAAAATAAGCGGCGGCTGTGGTTATGAAAAGTTATAAATTTTTTTAAAGTTAATTACTTTTACTTTTTTAACTTTAGGTTTTTTAGGATAAACTTTTATCAGGGTCACTAGCCTATTTCCACTCGACAAAAAAATTATTACTAAAACAAATAAATCAAAAAATTTTTTGATTTATTTGTTTTAGTAATAATTTTTTTGTCGAGTGGAAATAGGCTAGTGACCCTGGTAAAAGTTTACCCTAAAAAACCTGAAGTTTAAAAAGTAAAAGTAATTAACTTAAAAAAAATTTATAACTTTTCATAACCACAGCCGCCGCTTATTTTAGTTTATTTAATGTAGCGAATTTTTTAGGGTTGTTCAAAAAAGCACACTTTTAAATTAATAAATGTAATATGATCAACTGTGAAGAAAAGTGTATTATATGATGAAATGACATTAAGTTCTTTTTTTTTTTACTAAATTTTTGTTACTATTTTTACTTAAATTTTCAAAAATTAAAAGTAAATAAATTAACAAAAATGAAAACCACAATATTTAAAACCAGATTTTAATCACTTATTTAAAATCAGGCCGGTAGCAAGCTTTTTGTTTTTGTTTGAGAATTTAATTTATGTAACGACATAGAGCAAACTCCAAATATTTATATATTCATGTTTATAAAATGCTTTGCAAAAATATTGCGATAATCGGAGTCCGTTAACAATAAACCCATAAAATAATCTTTACAATTAAATTAAAAGTTCGTCTGGTAATCAAAATCTGTTCCTCATTCCATAGCTTGGAGCGAAAGTTAATATAACTCTTTTTTCGTCAATAAGTAATCAAATGACGCGGACTTCATCGTTAAAATTTGTCGAAGAATAACGAAGAAAATTGAGTTGTAATAGAAAATAACGAAGAAAATTAAGTTGTTATAAGTGACTTTAGTCTACATGATTATTTTCATTTTTCAAGCAATATAATCTGTCTTTTTCAAATTTAATTTGGTGATTATTGTTTTTTTTTTATTACATAAAGATATTCTTAAAGGCAGTGGCTGATTTTTAATTTTTATAATTTTTTATTTTCCTAAATTTGCAGTTGCAAATAACTACTTTTCTTTTTTAAAATATGCAAATGTTGG